GATAGATAGATAGATAGATAGATAGATAGATAGACATTTTAAAATACATTTGTTAATATTTGTTAATACATTTGTTGATATTTATTATTTTATTTCTTATTCTTAATTTAAATAAAAAAAAATACTTAAAATAATAAATAAACATTATATCATTTAATCGGCATGCATTATGGTGATTTAATTTGTATGTATAAATAAATAAAGGCAAATAATAATAATAATAATATCCTTTGTTTTCTTCATGCAAAATATATATATAATTTTTTTTTAATGTGACTCGGACAAGTTTCCATGAGATTTACACCCACAACGAAAGTCCAAGAGACAGATGAAGAAAGTAAAGGCAGGGAAACCGGCAAGATACAAGCCCAGCCAAAGAACAAAAAGCAGCAGCCCGAGCTGGAGAAGGAGGAGATGAGGAGATTTCCGCTAAAACTAATCAATCAGGTCCTGATAATGGCTTCCATGCAGGAGTGTTGACACTGGGTCAGCTCTTCCCTTGACCCGCGCCTTCAGGGCAGCGGCTACAGAAAAGGCACAGATAACAGAAGCTGGGGCTAATTGTCTGCCTAGTGTCAGGGCTTTTCAAAGCCTCTCCACTTTCACTCGATTGCCCGTCTTTCTCTCCCATTCCTCCATACCCTGATCCTCACCCCCGTCTATCCTCTCTCCGGCGAACTGGCCACTTTGTTTGCCTCCTCTTCCCGGAGCGAGGCTGCGTGAATCACATTTCTTGCATGGTGCGCGGCTGTCTAACACGCTCGCTCGCATCCTTCTAACACGTGCATAACAGGCAGCGGAGAGCCGGGAGACGCTGCGGCTAGTGAATACTGTGACACCTCAAGCAAACAGGAAATATTCCATTAGGTGACATCTGCCAATCATTTGTTGATCCCAACAGCTTCCAAAATAGGAGCTCCAAAAAAAAATCTGCCCATCTTTGCATGTCCCTCAAAGCACAAAACCAAATGGCATCGCATGCAACAAAACATTCCTGTTAAAAATGACTGACAGTTTATAAAGAAAAGACAGAATCAAGGTACTTACTTAAAAGCGTTTGCTTCCGTCTCTTGCCTTATCTTCCTCCGCTCCTTAATGCCTGTGTTTTGTCCTCTGTAGCTGCACACAGATGTGAAAGTGTGTGCGTGTGTTTGGGTAGATCAGAGAAGCTCCAGTACAGAAAGTTGCTGTTCTGTAGGCAAAGGCGTGTAGTGTGTGTGTATGTGTGTGTGTCTCAAGCAAAGGCTCACACTGCACTGGCTGAAGGGAAACCAAAGCACTTTTAAACTCGCACTGGCTCCCCATGTGACCAGCTCACAGCAGCCAGTGAGGAATATATTAGTGTGGCTTCCTCTGTCTACATGCACCCCCTAGCCACTGTTGCAGGAAGTGTGCGCTGCCAGAGAGACACAGACGCGCGCACAGTGACATATGCTTGCAATACCCATGGCACGATTAACAAAAACACAAATGCAACCACCCAAAGAGAAATTTATGTTGCTCAGAGTTTGCTCTTTCATAGCTCAGGAGACTTAACAGGGTTTTCAGTCATGCTTTATTCAAGTGTCCGCTTTTTCTCAGAAGTTAGGTTAGGTTAGGTTAGTCTTGAAGTTAGGCAAAAATTAGACCTTTGGAACAATTTGATTTAAAAAATAAATAAATAAATTGCAGACTGAGCACAATTTGAGACGTTGAAATTTCAAAACCTCTAACATTTTTTATTTATTATTATTTTTATTTTATTTTATTTATTTATTAATTGTATTTATTTATTGTTATGTTTTATTTGTAATCTCCCTTTAATAACATTATTGTCTAGGGGAAACAATCGAGACACAAAAGAGATCTCGTTAGCCATATTTCCTTCCTCTTGGCACTTACTGGGAACATTTTTATTTGTGATTACTGCGTTTTAAAATGCACAATATCTGAACTCCCCCAATTGGTATTTGGCTTGTTAAGATAAATCGCTTGCTGGATGCATTTAAAGTGTCCCCTAAAAGAATAAAACAAACAATTCAAATATAAATGTTGATAATTGTAAAGATTTGTAAGATCATCTTTTATTCTTTTTTTTCCTTTGACGTTTCTACAACTGTTCATCTACAAATTAAAAATCAAAGAGAACTTGAGATTAAACAAATAACTAAAAACAAACAACAAATATAACAAACAACGCACATTAAACTAAATATAATAAACAGTGCACACCAAACACAACAAACAAAGCACAGCAAACATCCTATACACCAAACATAAAAACAACAAAACTCAGATTTAACATAAGCAACACACATAAAATGCAACAATCAACAAACATAAAAATAAAACACCCTCAACAAAATATAATAAACAGTGCACACCAAACACAACAAACAGCATATAGTGCACTAAACATAACAACAAACCACTGGTTCAACATTTACATTTACATTTAGTCATTTTGCAGATGCTTTTATCCAAAGCGACTTAAAATTGGGGAATACATAAAGCGATTCTTCTTAAAGAAGCAAACAGACACAGGAAGTGGTCGTAATCCCAAGTTTCAGGCATTTGTTCAAATAAGTACAAACTAGAAATGGAAGGAATAAATAAAGAGAAAGACAAAGGTTCCAGCCAGAAGAGCATTGCAGTAGTCCAGCCTAAAAATGACAAGGGCCTGGACAAGAAGTTGTGCAGCATGCTCTGTTATAAAGGGCCTGATCTTTCTGATGTTGTGCAATGCAAACTTGCAAGATCGAGCAGTCTTTGCCATGTGGTTTTTGAAGGTCAACTGGTCATCAAAGATTACACCAAGATTTCTGACCGAAGTTGATGGGGTAATTGTAGAAGAACCTAGCTGGATGGTGAAATCATGCTGTAGAGTTGCAACATAATAAGCAATCAATGAATGCACTTGAAATGCAACAATTAGCACACACCAAACATATAAAATGCACACTAAACATAGTGCAAACCAATCGTAATGGAAAATGCACACCATAAATAATAAACAGACACCCCAAACATCAAATAATAAACAATGTACAACAGTGAATGAATGAATGAATGAATGAATGAATGTTACAAAATGGTCTTTCCACCAATCACAATAATCAGCAGCTGAAACTTGCACCCCACTTCCTTTATCTGTCTCTCTCCTGTTTTTTTTCCCCTTCTTTCTTTAAAGCACATCTGAACTACAGCTCATCACCACGATACGGCCCCTCCTCCTCTCTCTCTCTCTTCTGGGCTCTTGCTTCTATGCAAATGTGCCTCCTGAAACAATGGTGAGAATCTTAGCCGGATAAACACACATGGCGTGCATTTACAAATCAATACTCAGAGCTCAGCAGGGCTGTGCATTAAACATGAGCTGCTCCACAGAAAAGCAAAGTCACTACTAGCCGTCCTATCAGTCTGCTCACCGTTCAGCCAGTGGGGGAGACTACCCACAATGCACTGCAGGACAGTGTTGGGCAAGTTACTCTGAAAATGTAATCAAATTACTGATTACTGATTACTCCTTTTAAAAGTAATCTCGTTACTGTTCTGATTACTTTATTTCAAAAGTAATTAGTAATTAATTGCATTACTAGTTACGTTACTTTTTTCTCCATTAAATTTGTGAAATCCCATCATACACACTCCCGATAAATATTTGTTATTAAAGCATCAACATTCACAGAACACTGTTATTTTTAACTAAAGCAAGCGGCGGCTGCATACATGGTTTGGCATAGCAGAATGCCAGCAAAGAGCGCTGCATTTATAATCTCTAAAAGACATCTCAGTTCATCGCAATCTCACAAATCTCTGTTATAACACAATAAATACAGTATATGCATAATGAATCTTTCATAATGTCTACAATTCGTATGTTACAATGAGAGGATTCGTGAGCACGCAAATTTCAGCACTGCATTGCTCAACGCTGCAAACAAGTGTTATAGCCTAAATAAAAACTCTGCATACGCTTGCACCTGTTAATCGTTTATATTTTATATTACTTCGTGTTGCTTTTGTGCAATAGATGTATAACAATTTATTTGTTTAGATATTTTATGTTTAGATATTTCTATTTTGCGGGAGTCCCGTGAATAATTTT